TATATATTAATTTTCCCGTGCAGCTGAATTCCACAAACGACTCTTCGTCTTCGCGTTCATTTTATCATGTTTACTAATCGGTCGTAAATGAGACGCATCCACGACGTCTCTGTCAATAAACGAGCACATCTTATCTATCTCAAATGTTTCATTAATAAATATCGGCACTTACTTGAATTCATCATAGGTTTGAGTCGTATTCACCGCCCGMMACTTGGCATCGTTTCGCAATTCATAGAGTTTCGCCTCACGTAAGCGTTCCATGCATTCTGTACGTAGTTTCTTTAACTCTTCTGGTGTTATTTTATCTATTTGTAGTGATGTTGACATATTTTGCTGGATTTAGATACAAAAAATGTTTATTAATCTGAAATTGTTTATTTATTTTTGCTTTCCTTTCAAATGCTAATCACCTTATAAACAAATGTTTGATCGATGYAACTTCTGTAGAAACTATATTGGCTGCCAAACTGTGAAATATTACTGTTACGCATCCATACACCTTTTACTTATGCCGGAAAAATAAAGTTCGAAAGGTCAGTTTTCATTACCATTTTTAAATAYTCGAAAATATGTGTGTGATTAAAGTGTGCTCACTTAAACAAATATTTCAGAGATAGGTGGAATTTGTCCATAGCAAATTTCGCCCCTCAGGTGGAATCGAACCACTTCGACGTTAATCGACTACAGATTTGAAGTCTGCACCCCGGACCACCGAAGCTCAGAGAGGCAATTAAGTATGAATACTTGCCTCAACTTAACCAGACATTTAAACGAAAATACATCGGCGAATTGCAAACACTTTGCTAACGAATGAATTGTATGTACTGAGTTCTCACGATGTTTGAATACTAAAATAAATGACATTGTAATGAACTATGATCTAATAAATCAAACTCCATTGCGTTTTTCGCTAGMAGATGCAAAGATGATGTCGTGATAACAGAATAAGATAAGTGCGCTTAGAATATATGCAGAATATATGTATATATGTTTACATATATGCATGTATATTTGAATATGCATTTTACGTCCGTTTATGGCTTACTGGGTATATTTTTTCATGCCATTGTCTCACAAGTGACCTTGCTCATTTACGATAGCGCAAAAACAAGAATTAGTCAAATGTGATTAGATCCCTATTGTCAAAATCGGCCGTTTTCATATATTTCAACCAAAGAAAATACGCATTTTGAGTGATAACGGAATACAAATGGATTGTAAATTACACAAAATCATCAAAATGTGAGCAAAAAATTCATGAGAAAGAAAACAAAACTAATTTGGCAATCACTTCCTTCGAAAGATAAAGCATGTTCCATATCGACAGAACCTTCTCGAATCTAATCATGAATTTGGTCACTCTACAAATCTCTTGCAGTTTGAAAGTAATTAATGATGAAAATCATAAGAAAGCACTTAATAAAATTTTCTACCGATGATAACAAATAAAATTTTTTTGTGACAATATTTTTTATAAAATCATATTTTATTTGTTTTTGTTTATTGTACAAAGATATGTATTCAAAGAAATAAGTGCAAATAATTCAGCTTTGAATGAAATTGATTCAAAAACCTTTAGTTACAATAAATATGCCACTATTTGATAGTGTTTACAATTCAAAGCATTGAAGTACAAGCAAAGATAAATTTATTATCTGGTACAACATATTATGACAATTATAGTGTTACAATTAAATAGTGCATATTTGGAAGCAAAGTGCGTGAAATAATACATACATATGTATGAGCATAAATTCGTGGCAATTTGAAGTTATAATTTTAAATTTCAATAATATTATAAGCTTTATATAAATTCTAACGAATGTTTACAAATTTCATATGGATGAGTACATATTTCACAAATGTTTTAATCTTTTAAGCATACGTATGTATGTATAAATTTAGGACTTCTTATATTTCCTTATATCCTTTTTCTGCCGTTCCCCTACTCAAATACGCTTTATCTTCTGTTGGTTATTTAAAATGGAATGATTTTTTTTATATTATTGCAATGGTTGAATTTGTTATTTTGCTGCTGATTATGTTATTGTTGTTGTTGTTGTTGTTGTTGTTGTCATTGCTGTAGGTTTGAACGGCTGGAACGTGTGGCGTACACTCATTTACGGGGTTGCTGAATGTTGATTTGAGGTTTTTGTGCGACAAACGCCGGTGGCTTGGGCGAGTGTGCGACCTGTGCTGCCTGTGGTGTATAATCTATATTTCCTTTAACTGGAGCGCCACTCACTACGCCACTATTAACAGCAACTGGTTGCTGCAATAATATAAAAATGTTTTCGTAGTAGGCAAAAATAATATTATGTTATTAATGTATGTTTACCGTCAATCCGGTACAATCTTCTGCATCCTTAGCTGGACGCTCAGCTGCGGGAGCTTTGTGTTGTACAATGCGCATGCCACCCGCTTTAACTACAAATAAATTCAAACATATGTTGGTTACATTTAAATATGYTACTTATAAGAAAAAAAAACTACGTTGCAAGCTTTTCGGCTTGTCTTATCAGTGTACTGAAATATATATGAGGATGCTTGTATGTATGTGCATATGTATGTGTATTCGTAATGCAGGCAACGGCAAACGGCGCACCCATTCACTTACAGGTGCTACAAACAACGTAATTAAAGGACATTTTCGTCACGTGTTTTCAATATTTTTTTATAATAAAGAAATATAGAAATGTATACCCGGTGTCCATTATCCTTAGCTTGTAAATACAGCACCTAACTACACATACAGCAATTATGTTAAAACTAACTGTACGTACCTGCTGGTGGATGTCCAGCAACAAGATTTGGTTGTTCGTCAGCCATTTTTCGTCTTCTAAATATCTTAAAGTTTTCTCCTTAAAATTTATAAATAGGTATACTGTTATTTTGTATGCATATGTAAATTTATAGCAATTAATACTTCAAAACAAGTTATTCACACCTAATTTGCTWTTGTAAATTACGCACTGGATTTTTGGACTTACCTTTCTTACTGTTGATCTCTTTATGATTATTTTTCGATTTTTTCTATTCACAGCCAGTTTTCTGTGGAGTTGTTTTTGGAGACCATATGTACATATATATAAATATGCGCTCTCTSGTTTTATTGTATACAATTGTTGGTTGTTTTTTTACAAGTGTATTGGCTTTTTAAGTGACACGAATGCACTTTTTCTTTCTTGATTTTAATCACACTGCTTTCGTATTCTTTCTCAAAAATAAAAAATATAAAGATAAATATGAATTTGTACTTTTTGTTTTTGTACTCCTACGTGTTCATCTATTATGTTATGTTTCCATTCTTTTATGCGTAGCATTCGTTACAAAAACAAAGTATGTTCCCTTACTTATTAATAATTTTTATTCACTACTAAATTTTTATTTTCGGAAAATGTATTTAACAATTAAAAACCCCCCAAGAAATAAGAACTTGTAAACATGTCCATATCTAATAAATTCAAATCGGGTTTGATAAAAAAACGTTTAAAAATTGTTTTCATTGCAAAGAGCTTGTTTCTTAGCCTGTGTATATTCGCCAATATTTTTCTATTCGAATGCAACCCTACACTTCACATTGAAAAAACTGCTGATAAGCCCCAAGTCGTGCAATTTGTTTTTTTAATTTCATGTTTGCAATTTACCGGTGAGCGTTCGGCAATCCAAATTGAATATATTCTATTAAAGTTAAATAAAGCGAAATTACGAATTTAAGTAGTTCAAGCTTATTAACTCGTACCTAAATCATACCGGATAACCAATCAAGTTGCAAACGAAAATGAAAGGCACAGAGGCAAGTAGTGACAGAAAGGTTATTGAAACCAATTTCGAAGGTTTATAGAATGACTTACATCATTTTAATTATTAAAAATATTTGATTCCTCTAAAAATCTACTGTAAAGAAATGTATTGTTTTAGCAACGAAATAATATGTTTATTGATAATTGTTGTGAGATTGTGCGCAGCAGAACACGTATGTGGATATTATTAATCTGTACAATAAATAATATAAATATTCTACAGAATTTCCCAATTTTGAAAAATGACAATCTTCTGCGTGCTGCGCGAGGGGAAGCTGTAGACCGTGTTCCCGTTTGGGTGATGCGTCAAGCGGGACGTTATTTACCTGAATTCCAAGAAGTGCGGAAGCAACATGATTTCTTCACGATTTGTCGTACACCCGAATTGGCATGTGAGGTGACAATGCAGCCGCTGAGGCGTTTTGATTTGGATGCATCAATAATTTTTTCTGATATTCTTGTAATACCGCAAGCCTTAGGAATGACAGTTGAAATGCACCCGGGAGTGGTGAGTTACGCAGACCGATAAACCTTTACTTAATTAAATTCCTGCTCAACTTTAGGGTCCTGTTTTCCCCGAACCGTTACAAAGCCCTGCAGACTTAGCTAAGCTCACGCCAGAAGGAGCAGTAGGAAGATTGACATATGTTGGTGATGCTATTACTATGATGCGCCACATGTTGGATGGGCGTGTGCCACTTATTGGTTTCACGGGTGCACCGGTTAGTGTTTTAAACCTTATATGTGTAATTGTTAAAGTGTTAAGGTGATATTTTTAATTTGTCGCCTAGTGGACTTTAATGGGCTATATGATTGAAGGTGGCGGCAGTAAAACAATGGCCAAATCTAAAGCTTGGCTGTCTGATTACCCAGATGATTCTAAGAAACTACTAAGCATGTTAACAGAGTCTATTGTTGACTACCTAGAAATGCAGGTGAAAGCAGGCGCACAGYTATTACAAATATTTGAATCTTCAGCGGAACATTTACAGAAGGAAGATTTTCTTAAATGGTCAGTGCCTTATATTAAAGAAATTCGTGACAAATTAACACAGCGACTTCAACAGCAATCGGTACCAGTAGTGCCTATGGTAAAAACTATTACAAGTGTTTATATTTTTCATCTAATACATTTTCACCCCTCCTCCTTAGACAATTTTTGCAAAAGGTGGGGGGCATTCGCTGAAGGAGCAAGCTGCCTTGGGGTATGATGTTATAGGGTTGGATTGGACGGTGGATCCAATTGAAGCACGAAAGGAGGTAGGGCCTAATATTACCCTTCAAGGAAATCTCGATCCCCAAGATATGTATAAAACACCAGAGGAAGTTCGCGCACTAACCACTGAAATGGTGCAAAAATTCGGAAAGGAACGTTACATTGCAAATCTTGGTCATGGTATTACCCCTCAAACTCCTATAGTAAGCATGGAAACAYTGGTCGACGCTGTGCATAAAGCACTGTAAACATATTATGTACATACATATTTACATGAGAACAAACTAATGGTATTGTTAATTTTTATAAAGTGGATTATTGTTTCGCTAGAATAAAATGGTTGGTTATTACATTGCTACAGTATAAAGAAACGCTTTTATTAATATTCATATGTCTATCAGTAACAATATGATATTTAAGCTTTTCCTTCACTACGTACTTTGTCATACAACATCAACGTAGTTCCAAAGCACACCATTAACGTGCCAATTAGAACCGCTGCAAAATGAAGAAATAAACATTAGATTTGTATTTCACATGCATAAAATTGTTTACATACATTTTCCGGGTAATCTTTCTCCTAAGCAGTAACCTGTCACAGCAGTAAACGCGAAGCTTAGTGAATTTGCAATTGGCACAGCTAGAGTTATATTAGTATGTTGGAGTGTCCACACATAAAGCACACTGCCTAATTGATTTAAGACAAAAGGAATCCAGTAATTCAGTCTTGATCCTATCATACAAAGCTCCGTCCAGAGATTATGCCATCTTGAACCGGTATCGATTGTGTCAATACCTGCGCTACCACGACGTATGAAAGGATTAGTTGCGCCCCAAAGTAATCCAACTCCTAACAGAGAAACTGCTCAAAAATGTGTGTAAAATGGAACAATTAATAAGTATAATAATGCTTACAAATAATGTTTATCATTTCTACTGATTTCTACCAAATTACTTTTGTATTGTTTACAACTATCAACTGTTGATATTTGACCACAAGATGGGGCTGCGTATTGTTTTTCATACATTTCTAAAGCGCAAAATATACGAATATTTAATGATTATAATTGAACAGTTGGCCGATAGCCCATGATGCTAGTGCTGCGTATTTTCTTAGTTTGTATAATAATGGTATTATTATGTAAGCTTTTATAAAATAAAAAAAAATAAAATAAATTGAACAGTTGTAAATTTATTGAAATATTTGCATTTCAATAAAATTTTCCTGAAAACTTTATATATTTATACTTCTCAACAATCTCATCCCTTGATGTCGCGCTGCACATTATGCGTTCAGGGTTAAAATGTCAACAAAATACAATTTGGTATTGACGTTTCTTTCTGACGGCTGTCATATTCTTTTACGTCAGGCTTTCATTTCCGATAGGTTGGTTTTTCGTAAATTTCTTTTTAAAAATCGTAAAACATCGAGAAATTCTGCAAATTCTAATTCAAAATATGTGTGAAATTCCTTGTGCGAATTACTTTTGTGTCGAAACATACACAAATTTCTACATTTCATGTTGCCTTAATAGGCGAAAATTAAAATATTGGAAAAGTGCAGAATGATCGGTGAAGAAAGTGTTCAAACAACTATTGGTGGCGCTTTAGCAATTAATAGTCTTAAAAAATCTAACAATTTCAGAATTTGTGTAATAAATCTTATAAAAATTCTGTTTTTAATTTTCAGGAGTTTGTTAGCAAGCAAGAAATTCCAATAAAAAATGGCGAAAACAAAAAAGGTTGAAAAGCGCAACAAATCTGCCATCAATGAGGTAGTAACTCGCGAGTGCACCATTCACTTGTCGAAACGTGTGCACAATATTGGTTTCAAAAAGCGTGCTCCACGCGCCATTAAGGAAATCCGCAAATTCGCCGAGAAGGAAATGGGCACCAATGATGTTAGAATTGATACCCGTTTGAACAAGCATATCTGGTCCAAGGGTATTCGGTAAGTTGTATACACAAATCTAATATTTTAAAATATGTGTTTAACTGTTTACTATTTGTTTTTTTACAGTTCCACTCCAGTCCGTGTGCGTGTGCGTCTTGCTCGCAGGAGAAACGACGATGAAGACTCACCTAACAAACTATACACATTGGTGACATACGTGCCAGTTTCCACATTCAAGAACTTGCAAACGGAAAATGTAGAATCCAGCGATGATTGAACATAAAATTAATGAAATGTTGCATGTTTGAATGCAATTAATTAATTACATCGTCCGGGTTTAGAAGTTTATTAAAAATACATAACGTTAATAAATTCATTTTTTATTTGCAAAAACGTGAACCGAAATGAAAATGGAGTATTCAAATCTATTTAATCGTTAAAGGCGCTGTATAAATCCAGATTGCTCGCAAGTTCGAACTTTGTTACATAGACCTGATTCTTGGAAAAAAAAAAATGGGTGAGCACCTACGCACGAAACTACTCATTTAATTTTGTCTAGGAATAATGTCAATGGTCGAATAGCAAATACTATCAAAAGCGTATTAGTGTAAGGTATATTGATTTCTTTTGGTTTCAAGTTAGCTCTTTATACTGCGGCATATAACATTCTTCAAATAATGAAATTAAGGTATATTCAAGTAATTGATATACAACAATTTTATTAATTAACTTAATACACATGTAAAAAAATCAAATTTGACAATTGTTTCAAAATTTTCTTAACACTATTTCCACAAATAACAATCCTTCGCTGGTTGTTAGCGCAATTATCTCTTTATGTGCATTTTCTAAATGCAACAACTGATATGCATGTATTGCTGGTAAAGTGGTTGCACCTACAATTTGTTGGAAGCCTGTTACGCCTTTGTACTGATATATTGTTAATGATGCATCAATATTTCGTCTCAAAGTAAACAATAGCAAGTCTCCTGTTCGCGTAACTTTTTCGAATGATATCTGTATAACATCCGAGCAGTCCAAAGTTTGCAAATGCCCAAAATTTGTGGAATTTGTAGAACTAGGAAATACAATTTTATATTGGATGTTAACAAATGATTTGTATTTTAAGCTTTTACCTATAAATTTCTAATCGCCCTCCATGCAAGCTGTTGGCTTGTTTTTCGCATTGAATAGCTAAGAATGTGTTGTTATTGAACATCGTGCTCGCCATTTTCATAGATTTTGAAATAAACAAACTTTGTTTAAGGTTTAAACTTGGATGTGTTGTCCATATTTCAACGGTATCGGTTAGCAAAGTAGCTATTGTATCCTTGTTTACTTGAAGGAGCTAAAAGTAATTAAATTTCACATGTAAATTCAGATAGTATAATGACATAGTTTATTACCTCTTGAACACCATTCCCAGGAATCACAAACTTTTCGTAGATGGGAAATTGAGAATCAATTTCTTTACTGATACAATATACCTTAGTTAAACCATTGTTTGATATTGCTTGAGTGGCAAAACAGTGCTCTCCTTCTATTGTAAGCCGTTTTAAATTTGAAAAAAAYTGCTCACCATCTAGCAAATTTTCTAAATTTAGTTTTAGATTTGATAATAAATAACTTGAATTATGTTTATTTAAAACAGCGAAATAATCATCAGCTTTGCTAAATAAAATCGGTGCTATGTCAATTAGCTCAGCCTGTTTTGGAAGCCAAKAGTAACCTGAAATTTATTAATAGTTTAAGTTTGTTCAAAATATTTATAACAATTATTTGAACATATTTTAAAATATTTCGTGGTTTAATATAACTCTAACATGTGTTATAAAAATTTGCCAATTCTTTTGTTGAGGTTCCTTTACCATATACAAAAAAAAAAAAAAACATTTTACAACCATTTTAGTGGAATAGTAACTTTATTAGTTTTGTTTACACAATTTTTTCTTTAGTCACAGAAATGTTAGAGCAGTTTTACAATACTTATATTCTACTCTTGTCTTTTGCGTCGCATCACCACTCACAATTGAGTATGGGAATTTTAGCATGCCTACGCAAGCAGCACCATAGTTTCCAAAACGGTCAACTACAACCAAACCTCCACTGAAATCAGGGTAGTAACGTTTGATTCGTTGCATCGCGGTTTCTGCTGCTGCTGTTGGCGTCCTACCCGCACGTAATCCTTCTACTGCTACCAACGCTGGCAGAAATCGCATCATTATATCACCATCACCTGTAGCTACAGCTGCACCGATTTCATTATCTGCATAAGCACCTGCACCGGGTATGGGAGAGTCTCCAACACGTCCGGGTATTTTATGTTTAGCACCATTAGTAGAGGTTCCTGCATATATTTGACCATTTCTATCAATGACAACCATGCCAATTGTGTCATGATTCCAGCGTCCAATTTGGTATTTAAAGCGATTGTCATTGTCCAAAACATCGAAAGAGATTGGTTTGTATGGACCACAATTTTTGGTAGGGTCCGGATATACGTTTAACCAGTAGTTTGGTTGACAACGATTTTGACGCCATGTTTTCCATATATCCATTGAATTGTTCGTGGCAAGTGTTTCACGTCGAAAACCCATTTTCTCAGCAAAGTTACTTGCTGCATCACCAACCAATAAAGTGTGCTTTGTATGCTCCAGTACATGTCGTGCTACACTTATAGCATCCTTTATTTGTTTTAGACCAGCAACTGCACCGATGTTCATATTGCTGCCATCCATAACCATAGCATCCAGTGTAGTTTCGCCATTTTCATCCGGTGAGCCACCATAGCCGACAGTGCCGTCACATTGTAGGCGTTCACAAGTGGCACAGCCTTCGATAATCGCATCTAAAGCATTACCACCTGGTTGTTGATTTAGTACGAACCAAGCTGCTGTATTAGCTTGGGTGAACTCCCATGTATTGATAACAAGCGGTAAAGACCTGTTTTTAGTTATTGGAGCTGGACTTTCAGAAGCTGCAGTTATAAGTGCAAGAAAGCTCAAAAGTATACCAGGGTATAAAATGTTATTGCGTTGCATTTGGAAAAAACATAAAACTGGAAAAATTTATTGTCAATTTATATTATTGTTGAACCGAACTTTAGTTTTTTCGGATATTTGTTTATCACTACAGTTGCTGACAAACTGTTGACATTTCCGTTTGTAGATTGCGCTACAGATGTTTTCACAATTACTCCACTAGAGTTACTATGAGTGAATACTATTTATTATAAAAATTAAATCGTTTTGATTTAACTTATTGATTCTTATATCTTGTGGTKTTTTTTTATTATAATTTTTTAATTATTGTCATTGAATACAACCCGGCAATGGACATGCTTTCCAAACATTTCCTTTTGTAACGGCCTTGAGTTCGATATAATGCGCGTCAGTTCGCACCATACGCCCTTTAAGTCATTAATGAAGAAAAGAGATAGTTATACAGCCAGAGTAGTTTGCAAAATATATACATTGCGCGCCGTTTCATTTCGTTGTTCGGTCGCCGCTTTGTTTTGCAAGAAGCGCGTTACTGCATTCATATAATTACACACACATAAAACAAAGCAAAGCAGTGTAGAAAGCAGATGAAAAAGTAGCAAAATTGGCATACAAGGATTTCTTAACTAATATTTTGCTTAAATCTCCAAATACAAATAATTAATCATTAATAAAAGTGTGTGGTAATCTCTTAGAAATATCGCTATATAATGCCCATTCAGCTCGATAAAATATTGGCAGATATTGCCGAGGAAAAAGTATTACATCCCAATTATCCGCCAGCAGGCAAAAAAGAAATAGACGATGCTTGGGCGCGCGTAGGCAAAAATAATAAATTGTCCGGTAAATATGTTCCGCATTACTATATTTCGCCGTTTTTAATTTTGTTTAATGTTTACAGTGCATGAGGCTCGATCGATATTCAAAGTACTCCAAAAGAAATACGAACAAGAGAAAACCAAACGCACTCCATCATGGAAACTATTCGATCTAATGGAGCAAATACATCAGCCTGTTCAAGAAGAAGACCCAAAGCAGGACGAGTAAGTGGTGTATCTATTTTTACATTACATTTTTAAAGTTGAATATATGTTTAAAGTGATGGTATGGTGTCTATGGAGGAAGATGAAGAATATGAAATGTTAGAAGTACAGGAAGAAGAAGAAACAACAGCYGCACAAGGAAAAAATGCAGCAGCTACATCAGATGGTGAAAGTCCATCGAAATCAATGAAATCTAGTGGATCTACTGAGACAACCCCCGAAAAGGAGGAAAAGCCCTTGCTTAAGCTACAAACAAAATTAACCGCTGCTAATCAGAGCAAATCCTCATCACCCGCAGCAGAAGAAAAGAAGGTGTTGAATTCCCTAGCTCACTCGTCGCGTCCAGCTTCTAATACAACATCTACTTCCACGCCTACATCCAACGCATCAGCTGCTGCTACTGCCGCTGCATTACATAAGAAGGGAATAACCATGAAGAAAACATCATCAAGTGCAGCAGCTGGAAATACTTACAGTGGTACGCCCCGGGTAGGTCAGCCATCAAGTAATAGCGGTCAGCAGAAAAACTCGACTATACGAGTAGCGGGTCAAGTATTGGGTGTCGGCGAGTGTATACCATTACCTGAATCAATTAAACGTAAATTAGTGGAAACACAGCCAGGATCCCAACCGGCTAAAAAACCAAATAACAATCAATCAATTGCGACAGCATCAACGGCTCAGACATCAACAACAAATGCTCGAAGTACATCGACTGCTAACAGTGCTAACCCTAGCGCATCTCTTCAAGAGAGCTCTCTTTCTTTAAATAATGATCCAACCATCAATATTAAGCAGGAGCCTAATGATGACATTAATCAACCAACGGGTATAAATTTAATTACAATAACAGGGAATCCTCGAGTTGAGTTAACGAACGGTGGTGGCGGTCCATCTTCTTCAACAGCCGCTACAGTAGCTTCCACATCAACGAATGGATATTCACCACGACTTGAAGAAATAGACTTTCGTAATGACATTATATTCGACTCTGGCAATGGTGCCATTAATGGTGCTGTGGCTGGAGCAGTTAATCATCCAAATCATACAAACGCGACAGGTGGTATCATTAATTTAGGAAATTTTGACAATTCACTGCCGCCGACTTTCTTCAAAAATCTTTGTAATTCATCACGACATGAAGCATTGGGTCTTTACGTTGCAAACGTTATGAATCGTTTACGACCGCGATCGGCTCAAAAATTAGAGTTGGGCATACTACGCGCAATAATTGATGTCCAAAGCGATGAATTGGAGCAATAAGAGAATATTTTTTGGTTTTAAGACAAAAAAAAGAGTAAGCAAYACTCTAATTTCGTTTCTTAAAAGTATTTTAAACTATATTTCGTACGCTGATTACGTATTTAACTATATTTGTTAATATTGAAAATTACGTCAACGACGTACAATTTAATACACATTTTATACATACGTTTTTCAAATAAGCACGGACAGTAGTAATGTTTTAAAATGTTTAAACCTACTTTGTACGCGAATAATAAATACATATGTATGTATGTATTTAAAGCCCTTTCTTTAATTTTTCACATGTTTTTTTTTGTAATTCGAATACTATCGGACAAAATATGCCCACGAAATTTGAATGCTATTTAAAATAAAGTAATTATATATAGTATATAAATATATAACGGAGTTCGTGATTTGATTTTTTCCAAACATTTTATAATGATTTCTAACAAAAACAAAAATGCATATCTTACGTACCTTGTATAGGTTGAAATTGTTCTTCTGTTAATGACCATTTGTAGTACATTATGGGGGAATGCTCATTATTTTCATTCATTATTCCAATGATATCCATGGTGTTTTTGTCTTCTTCGTTCAGTTTGAAATGTACCATTTTAGTAGCATTAACGGGTATTTTTTGGCGAATTTTAAAAGTGTTCAAGATATAGTAGGAAGCTGTTAAGAATTACAAATGTATTCTTTTATATTTATTAAAAACGCTTTATAGGCTTGTATATTTGCTATGACTTACCGTCTACAAACCATTTTAACTGTTGCACGCTTGTAAGAATATCCTTCCATGTGGGCATCTCGGTAATTTCATTGTCCACAACTTCGTTTACTGTAGATATATTACGTTTCCTTTTGCTGTCACTTGTGGCGCGATTATGGTACTCTTGTACTACCAACGGCTGCAGAAAGGTCAAATTCCCGTCCACGGTTACAACTTTGGAAATATTTGCGATTTCCACATAGAAATCGTCTAGTTGTTGTCCATTGATGCTATTTACGGACAAATTTTCAAAACTATTTACTAAAATACCACGATTCTTGGATAGCAAACTATTTATGTATATATCTCCGTGTATTATTTGTTTTCCAATGTTACGTAACAATAACGTTTGTTCGCCGAAATTCGATATGCCATTAACGGTGCCTAATACACTCAGATCTTTGTACATGTTAACGGTGTTGAGAGTGATRTTACCATTAATTGTGTGATTGCCTTGCACATAAATCGCCGTTTGCATCCAATCATTTATTGGTATACCATTTATGGAACTGCTTGTTGTGGTATGTAGTTTTCGAATATTAGCTGATATTAAGTGTTTTGGTGCCGTTACAGGAGCACAAGGTGTATCCAGACGCAATACATCATGTGCCAAATTCAAATTATTTATTTGTACATTATCCAAATTTTCTTGTATTAGCGCGCTTACTAAGCTCCAGCTGGCGCGTACTTCATGAGATCCATCTGTTTTAAGTGTATTTGCGAYGAATTCGTCGAAATTCATAGCCGAATTTCTGAAAATGTGTGGAATTTTAACAAGGGAACATTCAACATTGAAATTTGTCTTTATGAAAAAAAAAAAAAAACAGACAGAATAGTTATATTTAAAGAATTGGCTTCTTTCATAGGTATAGAATAGCAAATAGTTTAGGAGCTTCTGTAATAATACCTGTCTCTCGGAACTAGCAGTGTTGCCATGGTCGCATATTATTAGAACTTATTTCTGCTACATAACACATTTAAACTATTATGTATATTTATAAAATATTTTATGCATATTAAAAATTTTGCGCTAATATACTCGGAACATATATTTTCCTCACCATATAACTTTTGAGGAATTTTATCTTGCTTTGACGTTAACAATTTTTATTTTTATAAGTAGATAACAGAGAGTGGCCACATTGGTAATTCACTGACAGTTTTCATGTTTTGTTGAAGTAAATAGTGAAGTGTGTCTCGCGTGTGGCCTTCGATTTTACTTTTTGTGTAGAAAATTTGCAAAATTTAATGTGCAAAATATATAAATAACTAAAAGGTAATGTACACAACATGAAATTTGTTAAATAAAATGTGAAATGCACGCAATCATTATAGTTGTTGGTTGGTTATCGTCTGCGCATTGATTTGTGAATCATCTGTTTTTGTTTCTCCCCGTTTCGTCGCTTTGTTCAAGTGACTAATTACAGTGGTTTTCAAATTACGCAGTGAATTGATTTTCTCTTTATCGTTTTCTATATGATACAAGGAATGTGCAAGGTAAACGACGGTTATATTGCGCTGAACTTTTTGTTCGTGTATAAATATTAAAAAAAAAAAATTTGAAATTAATGCTAAAAGAAATGAGTAAACTAACTAATATCTATGTATATGTATATGATTTTTACTTTACTCACTTACACTAAACTCGTTAAATTAACAAGTGTGGGAATATGCAAAATATAATTGATTATAGTTAGCTATTGTAAACACCTGATACATTTCATACCTGCTATTTTCCACTAGCATTCCASCCAATTGTATGTTGTTGGCAGACAATGCACCTTCGAACTTTGTCTCACTGGCCAAAATCAATTCGGTGCGCATATCTTGTGCTCGAGATAAACTCAAATAATTTTCTTTTAAATATTGTAAATTTATATTATTCACTAAACCCTATAAATGTATGTAGTTATATTTTTTTCACCATTACCAATATATAATCAATTACCTCAAATTCCAACAGTCCYTCAAAAGTAGCATTTGCCAATTCGACATGTTGACTCAGACGTACGTTTTCATTGGCTAGCCAAACTTTGTCCAGCAACATCGACAATTCGTATCTATTTAAAGTGTGATAAAGTGGCGCCTGAGCAAAGCTAGCATGCTCTACATGAAAAGTATCACCTCCAACACCTCTCAGAAATCTTTCCAATTCCCGCAAGTTTATGCCATTCAGTGTGGAAACATTGGAAATACCAACAGAACCTAATGCATTAAGCTGACCGTGAATGAATGCGCTGGCATAAAGCGTTTGCGGTGCAGTAGAGTTGGCATTAACAATATCCAGAGGTACATGTATGCCATTTAACGTGGTTGTACTAAGCATCGCCTCCATTTGAATAGGGTTTCCTAAATAAATATACAAATTAATATAATTCCTTTGTTATTTAGAGTTAGACTTACGAAAGTCCATGGTGTCAATATACTCATTCCGGTTTATCCAGTAGGTGTCAGCAAAAAAATCGTCTATTCGGTGACCATTAAGTTTGCCATCAAGTTGCATTTCTTTCAAACAGTTTACTTCCGACAAGCTTTGTGGGGAAGTAAAGACTTGTCTGCCACTTTTCTGCAACCAACTCTGCCCAAATTCCATAGCAGGTATATCATTAAATTTACCTTGAAATGTTAAATGACTTATATTCATATTGTAATTGAATTTGTAGCTTCCCTCAAAATGTATATCTGCATTTAGATGCTGCAGCTGTTTCTCTATGGCCTGCACTTTACGTCCATTAATACTGCCATCACTCAAGCGTAAATTGCCCACAAATATAGTATTTGGGAATTTTTGCCTTGGTGTTAGCAAATCAATGCCTTTTGTCATGTTAGACAATAACTGCGCCATAAGTGGTTGTTCGTATCCAGGGTTCACTGACTTGCCGAAAATATGTCCATTAGTATGCAAACGTTCGATGTTCAAAGATCGTGCACTTAATTCTGCCACTGTTAGTGTCACAGGCAAATGCTGGTGTCCGTTGCTGGTGACATATGTTTCTATTGGCTTATCCTTTAGCTTTAAATTTTGTGTTATAACACTACATAAATATGAAAAAATTAATATGGTGTTTGTTTTATTATTGTGTTATCATTCACATACTTGGACGTTTGTATGCTACCCAAATGCATTGGTGCGGTGATCGTTTGGTTGAACGACTTAAATAAAAAACGTTCGGACAATTTTTCAATATCCACACCATTTAGATTTTTCACTTCACTGAAACCTCTGCGTATTTCGAGTGTCTGCTTGAAATGTTTCTCGCCCTCAATTAGCTGTAGACTTTTAAAATTCGTTTTAATTAGTTGCTGCAAGTCCACTGTATTGATGAATGTTAATAATGTATTATTCGCTTCAACTGGTTGTTCAAATTTAATATTAACATTAGCTAGCATTTGTGTTATATCGATACCATTTTCCAGCGTCTTCTTAGTACTAATTTCGGTGTTTCGATCTAATAAATCGYCTACGCTTACTCGATTGGATATAATTGCGTCGCCTTTTATAGTAAAATCTCCATTAAGCACAAGGTCATCGTGTATGATTTGTTGTGAGGACAAGGACTGTAAACTTGAACCCAACGTCCTACCCTATTGTTGAAATAAATTATTGCAACTAACAGTCTAATCATATTTGTACTGTTTTTTCCAGAAATTTCTGTCTCTTTTTTTTTCTAAAAACTCCAAAGGGAGTTGTATTTATATAATTATATGAAATTTATCAAAAAATTCAAAAAGAGTTCTATTTATATAACTTATTCGTTCTAATAAAAGTCTACTACTTACCCCCACACTTACCGCCATTGTAACCGGCTGCAAAATCCGCACATTCTCAAAAGCTTTCACACCCTCTATCACCCGTGTTACATTTGGCACTCTCTTCAGCAGCACATCAAGCGTATGCTCTTGCACATTGATATGATTTAAACGCTCATTTATAAACAACTCCTTGGCTTTTACAGGTGCTTCAAACAGTACCGATTGATTAACCATGTATATATGATCGTCAACCGTTCCATTGCCATCATCGATTGGTATGAGATCATTCAAATGATTGCCATCAATATCTGCGCTTAACACACGTACTGATTCCGCTAATAAATTACCTATATGCGCCGACTTCTCAAGAAAATGCGCACCCTCACGCTTCAGTGTATAATTTAGCAGATCGTTCCATTTGTAATCATTCAAAAGCCCATTGATTTGCAAATTGTTGACTGCCAATGTGGGCGCCACAACTGTTGGTGTTGTCGCAGTGGAAGCGTCCTCCTGCAATGCACGTTCCGTTGCTTGAAACATACCCGTTACACGCACTTTTTTAGCTTTGATACGCTCAAATGTGGGTCGTGTTGCTTTAACACCGTTCACTTGTTGCGCCTCGAGTTTGTGCTTAATAATAAGTGAGTCGACTCTAATGTTGGCAAATTCTTTGATAGCATCAGTTGTGGGTGTGGCACGTTTAAGACGCGCTTTAGTCGCTGATTTGAGTTCAGCCTCTATGCCATTCACTGCTTGTGTGGCGAAATTCAATGCCTGCCAATAATGGCTTGTGAAATGATGTTTCGGATAAATGAACTGCGTGCATTAAGATAGCGAAACGCGGTTTAACATTTAGGTATTGCCATTATTTTGCACTGTATATACGCTACTTACCGCATTGGTGTGCACAGTTTGTATGTTGGCCTGTGGAATTACTGTCACTTGCGTGTTGATGTTCGGCCGTTGGCCTTGTGACAGTTTTTGCTGTAATTGTTGTTATCAATTTGACTTATAATAGTCTAAATGTTATTAAAACTCTCAAATTTTACCTCTACATCCTGTTGCAGTTTATTAATATCGATTTGCACTAATCGCTCTATCTGCGTTTTAGTCCAATCGATAATCTGTTGACGTAATGCATTGGCGTGTTCGTCTTGCTTGAAGATCGGTAGAAAAATGTTGGTATCATTTTCTGTCATTTTCTCATTTGCGATGACTGAAATTACATTATACGAGTGCAATTAAAATAAGGAATTTTTCAGATTAACTGTCGATCTTTATGTGGTAAGCAATATGAAATTGAGTTTTTTCAATGTCGTAGATACTGTGTTGAGCTCAGCACACAAATTTACATTTTTGATGATATATTCGAAATGGAGTAATAACCAAAAGAGTTATGAAGGGAACTCGTTTTTGACGCGACAAGAACGTATGAGTTATGACCCTGTTTATTTTAAGCCGAGAAAGAACACTTCTGAAATATTTGCTTTTAATATATACATATGTAAAAAATATTGAATGGAAAATATTGGGTAGTCGAAAAAGTATTTTCGTAATTCTAATCAAACTTCAACTTTTTTGTGCTACACGAAGTGATACAGCATCGTCTCCGTAAATTTCACAAATTTCATTGGTGGATTGGATGRCATTCTTCCCTTTTTTATACAAAAATTTCAAAATGTAGCGAATTTCTCCATTATTTTCACTAATTTTTGAACAGCCATAACATTTTTTCAACTTCTCCGAATTAATTTTTTTTTTTGGTTGAATGGAGCTTAAAATCTCACCTTTCCAACACTATATGGTATGACACAATGTGATTGCTAGCACTGGAGATATACGACCGCAATGTCATCTATTCAGAAAATACGAAAAGACTTGCAAAACTTACCCAAAAAACTTTGTTCGTTCTCTTGATGAATTCTCATCTTCGATACGCCACGCCCCAAAGCGCCTTCGGTAAATTGCACATTTGACGGCTCGAATTTCCAATCGTTCAGATTGTAAATTTTTGTATCCTGATCTTTGCAAGCCACGAGCAGTAAAAATTTTTCCGCATCTACATTCTTTGTTTTTTTCGAATAAAAAAAATTATTGCAAAATTTCACAGTAAGCAACCTACCTGCACTGGAAGAAATTGCTCCACCGCATACAGCGATAAACTCTGATACGGCACGAATTGTCCCTTATCGAAGACGTAAAAGACCGAATCCGCCTCATTGGTGTCCTCCCCGCGTACAGCACTCTTACTTCTGCTCATCGAATTTCCATAGACTAGGAAGTGGCGGCGCTTCACCTCGTCCAACGGTGCACTGAAGTAACGCACATCCACCGCACCATAGGTGCGGATCTTCTGGAAGAGTTGAAAGCGTTTCTTTTCGCGTATGAATTTATAAATTTCAGAATATGTTGTGGTGCGTCCCTTCTGATCAGCATAGTTCGCCAAAGCCACATAATTCTCATAGTTAATGGCAAACGGTTCGACATGACGCGCATTGCTACACGGTATACGCGCGAGCAGCGTAAACGATGTGCCCGACCACTTGTAATAGGGACAGTGTGGGTTCGGTGCATCATCACTGCTGCGCAATGTTTGCAACATAAACAGATCATTCGCCACGGTGCGCAAATAAATCGAATATAAATTTTTAGTGTCAAAAAATTGTACGGCGCGTAGGCGATCATCGGCGGTGAGCACGTAAATCGGCGAGCCCTCTCGTGCATTTTCAATCGTTTGTGTAAGATTAAAGGCCAACGCAATGTAGCCCTTTGAAGCGAGCGCCTTGCAATCCATAGCAACTGCATTGGGCATTGCTATATTGTGCAGTTCGTTGTAGTTATTGTTCTGCAAAACAACGAAATTAACGCATAATTTGGATGTGGAACGTATTTGACCAGAATACATACCACATTTTTGTAAACTGTTAAGTGCCGCACACCATTTTTGTTTCTATGCAAGGAGACTGCATATTTTATACCTTCCATTGAGAGTATACAAATATCAGTTGGGAAGGAAACTGGCACCGACTCTATTTTACTGAGCCCATTGAAGGAATAGGCGGCTGCAAAAATATATACATATATCAATGTGTATGTGTTTAAATAACAGGGTTATCTTATAGTTAATAATATAATTATAAACAAATTAAAAAAGTAGGTAAGCAAGCAAATCATCTAATCAGAATTGACCCGGACTGACCAACTATATTTGCTCTTACGAGTATTTTGATACAAAACTTTATTAACGCCTTCAAAATAGCCACTCCTATCGAATTTTCCATACACTTGTTATAAGTCTCAGCTAGGATGGTCTTCAGCGAATTTGGAGTTTCCGGTTTTGGCACATTTTTGAAGCTATTTGCAAGATTATTGCACAGTTTCGGCTTCATATTCATAAATCTATGTCTAATCATAGGTAATGATGTGTTTTATGAATGTAGGATCCTCTGCTACATTGGCAAGCAATTTTTTTGCGACCGTAGGGGTCGACGTCGTTTTATCAAAAGGTTGAGGACGTTTGGTAAGAGTTTAGCTTCATACCCAAAACGTGTGGACGATGGGCGGTGCTCTGTGCATAGAGATCAAGCTTCATACGAACAAACTAACAAAAAAAAAAAACAGTGCGGGTCAAATTTGATCAGATGATAAGCCATTCCTTATAACCAACTATTACGATTTCTATTGGTGTATAACCGAATTGGTACGGAAGTTTTTGAGATATCGCTCTGAAAATTTGCGTAGGTCCTTTTTATCCCCAAAGAAACTGCCAATTTGTCGATATTGGACCACTTTAGTATAAAATTGTCATACAAACTGACTTATCGAAATCAAATCCTTGTCTGGGAAACTTGCAAAATAACTATTAAGGCAACATTACACTCTTCGTACTAATTGTCGCTTAGATCGGGCCATACCCACTGACCGATAAAAATCAAGATAAAGATCTTTTTATAGCCTTTTATGCTACAAGAAATGTATTTGAAATATGTATCGTAGTTTCGATGCAACCGAAGTTTACCCTCTTTCTTGTTTTTGTTCTGCTTATACCGTTTAGTGACGTATGCCTCTCACCAAAGTCTTAAATCTTCATACATAAGCTTATCAAATGCCTACATACTTATGCATAACTGTTAACTGCTTACAAATGTAAATCGTTAGACAAAGCGAAGTACAGAAATATTACTTATCTATCGGTATATAATGTATTTGGGCATAATACATTTGTAATGTTTATGTGCCCATTTATTGTATACCGATCTGATTGAAAATTTCTGTTCTTACAGCGAAAAATAAACATAAAGCATGGATGCCGTTCAGCCAACGTTACAACTYGACCAATTGAACGAACACGAGCTATATGTACAATGCATTACGAAGCAACTGGAGGAGGTCGACTTGCTCTCATCGATATACTGTACGCCCGGCGAAATGCATATACTCGATGCGAGCGTCATCAGCGACTTCCATGATTTTCTCAAGACTCCCATTGTCGTGCCCACCAACGTTTTAAAGGCGCATTTGGATTATATAATTACTGTGAGCGTACTGCATGGCAAGTCCAAGGAGAAAGTGGATATACGCATTGAATTGCCGAATCTCTATCCGCTGCTGGAGAATGCGATTGTAACAATATTTAGCACGCTTTTGGGCAAAGCTAAAGAACAGCATTTAAAGCGTGAAATTGAAAAGTACATAAATACAATGGATAAGAGTGAATGCTATGTATTTCAGGTGGTATCCTGGCTGCAAGATGAACTGAATGACCTAATCTCGCGTGATGGCAGCGAATTTGAGGTAAAAAAGCAGGCAGCGGCGGATGAAAATGAAACCGCTTTGGAATGTGAACGCTTGTGGATTTACTCGCATCACATTAAATCGAAGAAAAAGCGACAAGAAATTCAAAGAGTGGCGCGCAATATGGACTTGAGTGGATTTTTGCGTCCCGGCAAGCCGGGCATTATATGCGTCGAGGGCGTACGTGCGCACACACAGGAGTTTTGGCGCGTGATTAAAGCTATGCATTGGCAGCACATCACTATTTGCAAGAGCGAGCTGTGGCAGGGTAAATTGGAGCAGCGACGTCGCTTTGATGGTTTCAAAGAGCAACTCTTCTGCGATGATCTGGATAATGAGGAAGGTGTAATGAATATGGCGCTGTTTATAAAGTATTTGGAAACGCACAAATCGGGTTATATGAAAAAAGAGCTTTTCGGTTTGGAGTAGAGAAGTGTGTACGTTGAATGAAAGAAGCAAAGAGGCGGATAAAGCACAATTAAAAAGTAGAAGAAACGATAGTAATAACTGAAACTGCCAACGTGGGAGCGAAAACTTTGTTTTTGTGTGAATATTGCCGTCTTGTAATTCAAGTTTTATGCATATGTTTTTAATATAATATGTATATATTTTTTTTAAATAAATTTCTTTATGCAGAAAATTAAAATTCGAAAACTAATATACGAAAATATTTGTTTTTGTAAAAAAATATTCAATTGTGGTTATAGGCAACTTTTTTTGAAAACAATTTTATTTCGGATTCACGCCTTTCAAATTGAATTCTTCGAAAATTATTAGTTTTCCTTAAGCAAGCCACTATTGTTTTGTTGTTGTTTCAAAATATAATTAGTTTCAGCTTATGTTACGTTTTCCATCTAAATTTCCAATTTCTCTACTTTTTTATTTTAACATACCTTTATCGAAAAACTGCGCCATTTCACGTTTTTGTATTTGCGTATTAAACGGTTCGAGTTGTGCGCCATAAAATGCATTAAAATTCACATGAAAACACAAGCATTTGCTTACACAATTCATAAAAATCAATATAAATATATCAACAAACATTTTGTATATAAATTTTTTTGGTTCAAAATATTAAAATTTTTTTTTGCTTCTAAATATTTTATATATTGTTTTGTTTCTAAGATTTTTCAGTTCTTTTAGTTTCTTCGCAGAAAAYTATTAAGTTTTTTTATGTTACGCTTGAACGACTAACGACCTTTGCTTCCAATTAATTGTATTTAAGAGCTTTATATATATTCCTATTTATTTATATGCACGACATATGCTCGTATCAYTGAAAAATCACCTCTCCTAGTTGGGGAAGAAAATCAATTTTGTAACTGTTAATGGGTGACGAGGAATATTCGCAAGAGAGAAAAATGTAACTTAACCCGTTAGAGAGAAAAGGACCATAAAAAAAAATGAAAAAATATTATTCACTAATTTTTCTTGCCTTATACGAAGAATATATGTTTATTAACCCTTTATGGCATTTGGTTGACAATTTAGTACTTAAACAATTATTTTTAATGAATAAATATAACGTAATGGATCCTTTCATAAACTCCCGTATTTACTATTTTGCATGTATTTTACATGAWATGTGGTAGTCCAAAAAGTCTTTTCGTATTTCTAATCAAACTTCAACTTATTTTTTTATATTTATACTAATATAAAATTTGCTAAGTACCATTTTGGTCGACCACTTTTTGCCATTTTTCCGTTARACACATTATTCCATCAGTGTAACACTTTCTACAGGTCAAATCGAAATTTCGAAATTTCCAGAACGGAAGCGGGCGAACCATTTTTGTGCAACACAAACTGATATAACGTCGTCTTCGTGARCTTCACAAATTTCATTGTGTAAAAATAATGTGATTGGTAGCACTGAAGGTATGCGACTGTAAAGACATCTATTGACAAAATACGAAAAGACTTTTTCGACTACGCAATATAACGAATAGTCCTTCTCATAAACTCCCATATGTACTATTTTGCGTATATTTTACATGAAATATTTAAGTTTTAGGTTATTTTATACAACAGCATCGAGAAAAAAACAACAACAACAAAAACGGAAAATATTAAATATACTAAATTCAACATATTTGACAAATATAGTTTCTTACATAAAATACAGTAATCATATAAACCCTTCGTCTATGACGTCATTATGGTAACCCTCATTGTCGAAGCGATTATACGTTGTTTGTACATCGTTCACATTCGTCTCTTTCGACTGCGCTGCCGTCACTACTATTGACGCTCTTGCACTACGCGCCACCTCCGTATTCTGCACCTGTTGATCACCAGTGAAAGAGAAAGTTTTTTTCGCTCTTAAACTGAAACAACTACAGATCAGTTTAAACCATTTGAACATATAGCACATGCAGCCACTGCAGCAGGAAGATTTCTAAAAACAAAGATAAATATAAAWTCTAGTAATAGATATTTAAATAAGTGTTGTCTGAAGTAATTACACTCACATTAGACTGTATTTTGTTGGTATTGCGTTTAAAGCAGTTACACAGTGGTGTCTGATCGTAAGCGCGTCTAAAGTTGTCATTATTAAAACCATAGATCAGTGGATTCACAGCAGCATTCAGGAACATTAGATATTGTGATATATACCAGAAGATGCGAAAACTAACATTTACGGAACTATCATTTGTGGCTATAAATTGGTCACGTAAAATGACCAAAACAGTGAATGGCAAACGCAGCGCAATGAAAACGACCACCACAATGAAGAGCGTTTTGGCCACAGTTCTCTTATAGGATACAGTCAGTGGATGTTCACGATTAAGTATTCGCTTTTCGTAACGATCGAGCTGTGTGTGAAATGTAGAACTTGACAAATAATTTTTTTAATTGAACAGAATGCTTACCTTGAAGAAAATCGCTGAATAACAAATAAGCATTACGCTCAGCGGCAACCATACCATAACCGTAATTAAAAAATACCAATATTTGGGTAATATTTGGGTATTCTCTTTGCAATACATCTCTTTGAAGTTCTTCCATACACGTACCTTTAAAAGTTATAACAATAGTTGTCGTCTCAAAGCAATTATTATTATTTTTAATTAAAACTTTTCAAACTTACCCTATATGTCCTATATAAAGCCAACGGCAAAGCTATTAAAAATCCACCCAACCATGTGAAGGCAATCGCAAATCTCACGCTCCACATCGTTAAGCGTGTTTCCGTCGGCAGCACGATTGCCGTTAGCCGATCGTAACTGACAGCCGATAAATTTAAAACGGCTGTTATAAGAAAAGCCACATCCAAGAAACCTTCCATTTTACAACCTATCGAACCCAGTTGATAGTTCTGATAGAAATCGTTGATCATGAACATGCCAGGACATATTAGAAGTGTCAACATATCGGCTACCGCCATATTGCACACTAGCATATTCGTTGCCGTTCGTAGCGGACGATTCATTACGATCAGCTGTAGTATGACGAAATTACCGTAAAAGCCGAAAATTATAACCGGCACAAATGTGGATATCTTAAGCGTTATCTCCCAATTGGGTATATGTGTCCAAATGCGATCTTCGGGAAAGTTKATTTGACTATAGTTGAGCTGTAGTTGGCGAAGAAAGTTCAAAAAAATAAATGTTTCTTAATGTGATGACGTAGATTATGTAAAAGTATAATATATGGAAATTGYTTTCATTTCGTAAAATTATAATATTTGGAAACTGTTTTAAATTTATAGGCAGTAATTTTTTGACTTTTTGATAATCAAGAGATTTTAGAAATTTTTTAGTAAAAAAAAAGTATTTTTATATAATACTAGCTGACCCCGCAGCCGCTGTCTCGCGTGAAATTATGTGCTTTGAAATTAAAAGAAAGTTTAATTTAACATTTCATTTTTTATTTATTTTTTTCAATGTAACRTTGCTTGATAAACCACATTTTTTGGTTTTTGTTTTGGTGTGCAGAAAAGATGGTTTTCAAACTCGTGAGCACGCCACGTATATCTGAACGTGTAAAAACATAGTACTTCCAAACTTATCAAATCAAGTTGTCGCCTGTTAATCGTCACCTCAAATGCAATTTTCACTTGAAGCGGAATACGTTTGAAATGAAACGGCAAATCATTGGAACTCAAAGGAATTCGTAGAATCAAGCATTCTGTCCCAATCCGTCACAATCAGTCGGATTCCATTACACTGTTTCGGTGCATGAAGAATGCGAAACATAGTAACGAAAGATTCATTCAGA